ATATTTTCACGACATGTCATGAATAAATTTACTAGTCGTAAACTTTGTCGCGAACATGTTTCCAGAAACAGGAAGGGTTCGATTTTTTGCCCGCCCGGGACGCCAAAAGCTTTAAAGGCCTTCCAGAGCTACGGTTAAATTCAACATAAATGTATGTCCTTATCAGGAACCATGTGGAAAGCAAACCTTGTTTTTCTGAGCCATGTCGTTGACTCGTTTCCAATTTCCTTGTTTCTTTCTCGATGCACAGCTTAACTGTGCACTTTGCATCGCACGTGGACAACCAAGGAAAAGTACATGTACATGCGCATGGTCACTGTACCGCTAGCTGTACATGTACATACAGAATGCTCAAGCCAGGCCAGGCAGGCGCCGTTTGCTATTAGTGCAATTACTCTCCAAACTAACGGAAAAATATTTACTACTAGCGATGAAACATATGTACAACATCGCGAAAATATTCACGACTAATTTTATGTCCCTTTAGGACCACCATAAGAAAATCATCGCCTTTTGCTATGCATCTGGGAAAATGGGTATTAGTCATAGTACTTATAGTTGGATATTAATTATCATGACCTGTGAAGAGTACCCAGTGGCGTAGCTAGGATTTTACCAGTGGGGGGCACAAGGGGGAACCAGCATCTTATGGGGTCACCAACTTTCAGTGGTGTGGATTTTTAGGGCAAGCTTTTAGCCTTACTCAATATCCAGTCATCCGTTTTTTAATTAGTGGGGGAACGGGGGGGGCACCAGGAATTTGTGTGGGGGATGCCCCTAAGCGCCCCCCCCCGTGGCTACGCCCCTGAGAGCACCACTGTTACATGTCCTGTTCACCTTGCAACACTTCTGTGAGATGCTACGTTTATAATAACAACATTAATTCTTATTTTGTCATTGCCAATACAGGGTACCGTTCTTATCTCGTAGTAATTGAAGTAGCTGCCCACGCGTGGCCGTAGTTTGGAGTGTAGCGATAATACTGGGCCAAGGCAAAAACAGGCATATTTGTCATCATAATAATGTCAGCTTGTCAAGACCAAACCACACCGTTATCTCCACTATTGTAACAAAGATCCCGGCTGCAAAGACAGCAGGACTTTTCACAAAACTGCATATCACCGGTGGGGTTCAACAATGCTGTCTGGCCCGTGTGGGCCAAGTGACTCCGGCGAACGACGACTTCATAGCTTCCAGGGAGAAGACATGTCGAAGAAGGACCCAGATCGGACCATGAATGAACAGTTTGTTTATTCCTCCTTAGGGTCAGTTGAGTGACCTCATCAATGTTTTGACCTGTGCCTGTGACCCCGATAAAGTACTCCGTGATGATGTCAGCACCTAAAGAAGTTGTTAGCAATGTAACAATTCCACACAAAGGGTGCATAAGGAGAAGCCTTTTATTTGAATACAATCCCTATTACCTATCGTGGTAACACATCAAGTCCTCATGAAATATTAACAAACCTGTTATCGCATATATACACCACATGTGATGCCATTGGCTGAGCAAGAGGTGAAAATTGATAGATGTTAACCGCATTCTTCGATTCGCTGGCCACAACCTAAAAATACCTACGTTCTTAAACTGTCAGTGACATTAATGTTTCAGAAACAGCTGAAGTGATTTGATCCCTGATCTCATGAGCCAATTAAATTCTCGGTGTCCTAATCCATCTTCGGAGGGATTACAAGGCATGCCATGTTTCACAAACAAGCAGCAAGCACCGACCGAGAAATCACCGCGCTAAACATGCCAAGTACATGTAGGCCTATATTTTTGTCCTTCCCTTCCCTCGTAACCTCACAGTTGGCTACCTGTCGGGTCACCTCAGTGTAAGAGTTGCAAATTTCCGTCTTCAGCAGAGTTCCCACCGATTCTCCACTTTTGACAATTGATTTACCAGCTTGGTGTCCACCTGGGGCCTTATAGGTGCCCTTAATTTCGGCAGCACAGACGCAAGGCCAGCTGGCCAGGCATAGTCTCAAAATCATCGTTGGGCAACTTCAGCTCGATATCCAGGACAGCTTGGGCACGAGTGAAACTAAAATCGTATAAAGGAAAAGCAGATGGTTTTCTCAGAATCTCGATAGACTGTTCACTGGTCGTGTCCCAAGTGACTTTCAAAAAAGCAGGACTATGTTTTTTAATAAATAAAAACAGTATGTATACATAAAATTCAAGAACGGTATAAAAATCCAGATAAATTCAGCATGGTAGTCTGGTGCCATCAAAACATTTGTCGATTTCAGGGGTGCACCCTGGTAATTAGGCCAGAAATATGTCCGCCGAGC